AACTTTTGCTCATCTGAGACCAAGTCTCCAGTCATCTCTTTGGGCTCCAAGTCTCCCGCGTAAGGAGTCTGTGACTCTAGGGCACTAGGATGGGTATATATCAGGGTGGGAAGGTGGGTGGAGGAGTGAGGGGTGTCACCCAACAAAACCTAAAGATTCAGGGAAGGGCAGCTTCCAAGCCCCTGATGCACTGAGGATGTCTCAGTTCCTTCTGGGCAGAGATTTGCCCCACGAAAGCATGGCTGGTTGAATTAGCCTCACTTTGAAAGCTCTTGGTCACCATGATCACCATTAGGGAACACATCTTGCCACCCAGATTATTATTATTCATTTGACAGACAGGCCTTAGGAAAGGCTTTTAAGGAGCCTTTCCATTTACTCTTGAACAACCGCCATCAAGGAGTCAGTGTAAAGAGCAGCACGTGGAGGAATCAGGGTTCAGGTACCCCCACATGATGAGCAGCCACTCTGCCTGTGTTGGGACCAGCTGCTTCTCCTGCTCCAGGCAACACAAGGAGGGTTTCCTGGGTCAGTCTCCTGCCAGAGCTCTGTGCAGGCAGGAGAGGGAGCTCAGGGCCTCTGACTTGACAGCACCACCAATGGGTTTGATGAGATTACATGGCTGCTTCTTGGTTCCTAAATTACACCCTGCTTCTCTGAGCCAGATGCACTGATAAGCCTGAAAGATCTTCTTTCAGAAACAGACCTGAGGCCAATTAAAAATTCTTTTTGTTCTTTCTTGAGTTTTCCTAGGATTCACCTCAAGCCCACAGTTAAAGCCATCAGTCATAGTCATACTAGTCTCTTTAAAGTACAGTCCACAGCCTCATTTCAAACTGAAATCTGAGACTCCTTTTCTGGTCTTGGTGTTGATCTAGCCCACAATATATATATATATACACACACACACACACATATATAATACATATTTTTTTAATTGAAATATAGTTGGTTTACAATGTTGTATTAATTTCTCATATACAGCATAGTGATTCAGTTATACATATATATATTCTTTTTCATATTCTTTTCCATTATAGTCTATTACAAGCTATTGACTATAGTTCCCTGTGCTAGACAGTTGGACCTTGTCTATCTGTTTTATATATAGTAGCTTGTATCTGCAAATCCCGAACTCCCAGTTTATCCCTCCACCTCTCCCTTCCCCCTCTGGTAACCATAAGTTGGTTCTCTACGTCTGTGAGTCTATTTCTATTTTGTAAATAAATTCATTTGTGCCATTTTTTTAGAATCCACATATGTTATTATCATATAGAATATTTCTTTCTCTGATTTACCTCACTTAGTGTGATAATCTCTAGATCCATCCATGTTGTTGCAAATGGCATTATTTCATTCTTTTTTATGGCTGAGTAGTATTCCATTATATCTATATACCACATCTTCTTTATCCAGTCATCTGTCAATGGGCATTTAAGCTGGATCTAGCCCACTTTTGACATGAGGCAGAACTTCAATGATTTTGCAAATCAAACATTCTGGGTTTGAATCTTAGGTGTGAACCTTCCTGGCTATGAAAGCTTAGTGACATGTCCTAGACTATCTGTGCTTCCGTCCATTACGTGGGGTTAATAGGAGGAGTTGTACGATGAGGTGGTGGTGAGCAGGAAACGAGATTGTAAACTGTAAGTGCTTAGAACGGGGGCTAACCAATTGCAAGTACTCAACATATATTGGTCAATATCCCCCAGGCTGTCAGAAGATGGCTCGGGAGGGAATTTTGTCAAACCGGAATCTGAGACTCAAAGCCACAACTAAGAGGAATAGACTATCGGATGGTGGGTAAGGCCAGAAATTGTGACATAAAATGTGAGGCCCAGCTTAAAATCAAACTAGAGGGCCCTAGTCGAGGGTGAATAAATCAATCTCCCCTTCTCACAAGCCCATTGCTCCAAACCACAAACTGGGGGTGGATGAGAGCCCCACCAGTTCACCTACCAAATACACCATGGTGCTACCAGCCTGCGGCAGAAACAGTCGATGCTGGATCCTGAGTCTTCCCATACTTAGAAGCTCTTGCCAGTGTGGAACATGGGTCTTCTCCACCCATGCAACCCTGTCACTGCTCTGAGTGAACAGCTAAGTATTCTCAAGGTGTGGGTGAGGTGACTGAGGCCAGGCAGACCTGGGGTATCAGAAAACAGAGAGTAGATGGCTGAGATCCTGTTTTAGGGAGGAAAGAAAGGGTGCAGGACTACATGTGAGCTGAGGTTCCAAGCCCCTAGTGCATGCTCCATTGCCCCATTGGACTTGACTTACAAAACTCAAATTCAAAGATTAATTTATTAAGAATTTCAAGACAACCATTCCAGAGCATTAAACCCTAGTGTTGAACCTTTTCAAAGAGGGGCCCTGTGCAAATGCATCAGGCTCGCATTCATGAAATTGGCCCCAGATGGGATACAGCCTTTCCAGGCCAAGGGCTATTGGATGTCAGAAGAGATGGCACAGAGCTCTGAGATCTGTAGGACATTCAAGTGTACAAACAGACTGGGAGAGGAAAAACAGAGGAGAGGGCAGGCTGAGGGCAAAGATGAGGAAGGAGAGCCCCCTAGCGAGGCATTGCTTCTCCTGTAATTCAGTATCGCCTTCTGCAAGGAGCAGGGTATCACTGAGGCGGTCTTCACAAGGACAAGTACCTCCCAGCACCAGGAAGCCACTTGCATCTGGCCGTTCAGTGGTGACGACTGCATGCGGCCAAGGAGAAGGCTTGCAGAGGGAAGTGGTGGGGTGCGGGGAGAAGCACTCCCCAGAAATGCAGTCAGTAGCCTGTCTGGGAGCTGGGAACATGGAGCTGAGGGTTAGGGTAGAGTGTGGGGCGGGAGGACCCTGGAGCCAGCACGGCTCCTCAATCCAAGCCAGAGTTGGGTCCCACTTACCATAAAACACAATCTACTTAGAAACTCTCCATGGAAACTCACATCTCCTGAAATAGGCATAGCATGCTGTCCTCTAATACCTAGGCTCCTTCCACTGTAAATCCCTGACAATGACTCTAAGCATAAGACCAAATTTGTTTCTTTGCACTTCCAGTGTCTCACCCTCTGTCTTCTGAGAGACCCCTGGAAAGTGTCTGTGGCAGAGTATGGCTTTCAGCAGGGACTTTCACCCCGAGGGCTGGGCTATGGAGCTTGTCTCCCTGGAGTAACCCTTTCTGGAAAGAATCTTACCACTATGGTCCCCACAGTGTCCCTAGGTGACCAGTTGCCTCTGCACCAGTTGGAGATGTCCAGTGACCCACTGGCCAGAGGTCATGAGCAGTGTCTTCATCTGGGTACTTGCCTGGCCCCAATGTTCATGTCATTTGCTGCTTTCATTCCTTCCAATATCCTTCGGCAGCAGAACTTCGTTTAGCTGCAGAAAAACAACGTTAACGTGCATGGAGATGAACTTACTGTTGGCTTGCGTGCACTAGACCATCTCCTTTAATTTTTTGCTGATAGCAAATGTGCCTTCCATCCATGGTTAATTTCCCTACACATGCAATCTTTGCTCAGGTGGTACATTTACTGTTTCACTGGCTAAATTTCCAAGACATTCACGGGCAGCCTCTGGTCCTCTGTGTCCCTATTTCCTAGTCTTGGCTTGGACATATTCTTTTGATCTGGAGAGGATGTCCTAGTGTTCAATGTTTGGCTGATTGAGGGACTGTCTCCTTTATCTGGCTGTCAGATATGCTGAAGATGTGGAAGTTCATCTCAGTGCTGGTCTTTGAGGGTGACAAGATTAGTTCTGTGGTTTCCCTGGTGACTCCAGTGAGAGGACTTATAAGGCAGCTTGCTGTGATAAATACCAAACTCCTTCAGGGAAGGAAAATTCTGTTTACCATTGTATCACCAGACACTGGCACAATGCTTTGATGATGAGAGGTGTTAAATTAGGTGGTGACTGAATGATAAAATCTGAGGCTAAGTAGAAACAAACAAAAAAAAATGATGGGGCACTGTGGAATAAGCTGAGCTTGAAATGAGGCAAATGCGATCATTTTGGTGTTGTTTAGCGGGCCTTGTGGAAATGTAGGTCTGTAGCTTGGTGAAAGGTTGGCAACAGAGACTCACACTTGCAAGACATCTGCCTAGTAACTCGTTGAGACAGCGAGGGTGTGTGAAATTGCAGAAGCAGAAAATAGAGTGAAGGCCCAGCTGTCTGCTTGGATCTCTATCATGGGCTTGAGTGCAAGAAGTATCCTGGTCTTTGATGTTCTCATACTGTGTTCTTGCCTCTTTGTGGTTCTTTTTCTTTTATTCATATTTTAAAGGTTACTATTATACATAATAGATAACATTAATTCCTGTATTTCTAGGAAATGAAACAAAAGCTCAGAACAGAGGAATAGTCACTGAGTGATAACAGGACTAAGAATGGAACAAGACAGGAAGAAACACGTTTGGAAAAGCAGAAACCACGGGGACATCTGAGAACGAGGAGTGAAAGAGAGCGCTGAGTTTCATCTTCCGAGCTGTTCTGACTGGGACAGCAGCCTCAGGGCACTGGTTGGGGCTGGGGCACAGCAGAGAGGCAGGATGAAGCTATTCCGAGACAAAGACGGGCAGCAGGCCTGTGTTTGCACTAACCACCCTGTGCAACTGAATTAAAGTTTTCTAAATTTGTCCAGACTAGAAGCATGTTTGATCCTGAACTGTGGGCAGAGCAGAGCCTATGGGCAAGGGTCAAGGAATCAAAGCAGACACAGCAGGAGCTAAAGCCAAAGAATTTCATTGGTGGCCCAGGTCTCCCCAGGAAACAGTTTTGCTTTCTGTCTGTAGCAAACTGACTATTACCTTCACTCCTGAGAGCTCACTTGAAACATGATGTAAATGTAACAAATCTATTGAAAATATAACTCAAAGCACATGTCTTCTTGATGTGGAGTTGGCTCTGTGACCTCAAAGTCCTGTCCATGCCCTTAAAGGGACCATTTTTCTGGCAAGTTGCCATTTCTGGTTTATTTTCAATGTTCATTTCTTTTTTTTTCTTAACGGGGACACTGGGGATTGAACCCAGGACCTCGTGTATGTCAAGCACTCGCTCTACCACTGAGCTATACCCCCACTCAAAATGTTCATTTTCTTTATCAAGCTCCATGTTCTTGTGTGTTCATGAGCTCTATGGCTTGGCCTCTTGCGTGAATCTGGATTTGATAATCATTCTACAGTCCTACATAAGAGTTTTTATTCTTTTCTTTCTTCACCAAGTAGCTTTGCCTGTAAATGGATATTTTATTTTATTGTAGGGAATGTGGATGCAATATATTTTCAATCAAATGTCTCTCTATAAGTTAGATTCTTGGTAGCCAAAGAGTCCAATAGTAAGTTGTATATTGATGGTGTCTTAATTTTTGTACCTTGAAAAGTAGTTTCTGAAAGAAATGATTTTGTGCTAAGAGTTTATTTGGATGACAATCCAGAGCATGGTGAAAGAGTAGGAAAGGAAGAAGAATAAGAATGAATAACCAATAAAACATACACTAATAACTTAGTAGCTACCTCAGGAACTAGGTTTTGATGCCAATAAGTAACTGTTGAAAATATTTCAGAATCGTGTCCCCGACAAATGAGTAAGTTTCATTGGTTACTTACCAACAACCACCTTTTTTGTTTAAAGGTTGTTACTGGAATCTTTAGCCCCCTGGCACTTCCAGACTGTTCTATAGACAGGCTGATCTTGCTCATGCAGCCAAAGAAAGCTATCAAACAGAGAGATATAGGTACCTAGTGTAGGAAGTCATTACATATAGTGAGTCTCCACCAAGGTTGCAATACTCTTCTAGGGTGAACTAAAGCACCAAGT